AAAAAGCCAAGAGCTCATTCGTAATCGACGGACATACGCTTTGGACGTTCGTTCTAGGCTTTCTTGCAAAAACAGGAATGATTCCAAAGCTTTTTTAGATGAAATCTCAGTATCAGCCAGATGCTCTTGAATACGGATATCTTGTGCTTTTTTCAGCTTCTCCAATATACGTGCTATTACATACCGCACATTCAAGCTGGTAAATACTACAATCTGATCACAATCCCCTGACGTGCCGCTTGGGCCGTCTAATGTCACGCACTGCCTGTCATACAGTCTATTTCGAACAAGCTGCCGCTTGTATTGCCAATATAGGCGTTCATCAACACAACCTTATCTTGCAGCTGAGCTTTTGCAATACTGTTATGTCTTGCGGTGCTAAATTGATCGGAGATGAAAGGGAGGCGTATAGGTACCTCCGGTGACGTGGTTTATGTCGTTGTTGGCTCGAGTGCTGGCTCATTTACCCCTGATCTAATCTCTTTTGTGGAGATCCATGGGTTTTTGATTGAAGAACGAAGGTTGTCGGTTTGGAGACCGCTCAATTTTTTTTCTTGAGTCTCCTTCACATCGTGGAACAAGGTACATTACGCAATAACGGATGGGATAAATATGGGGCTATAATATGAAAAAAGGTGCTGTGCGGCGTCTGATAAACCACTGGACACCCTTAAAATAAGCTTACCCTTTTTTCCGGGCCGGCTTTTCACAAGAAAAATCTGAATGCAAGTCCCTTCTTGAATACTGGAGTAGAAGGTCGAAGTTTTTCTAGCTTCTTCCGAAATTGCGCAAAAAGATGTTTTGTTTTAAAAGCACCGGTTTCTGGTCGCCAACGCGTTGGTACAATACTGCTTTTGGAACATCTACGCGTTGCGACGGTTTTGTAGCGTCGCAAACCGTCGCACCGTCATAACTCCCTCGAAAGCGGGTAAAATGAAAGGATCTTTACAGCAATGGACTCGTCTCTCTGTGGCGAGTCTAACCATGTGCAAAACTACTAATTTGGTTGAACTGGTAATAAGTTATTCCATGAAAACTATTGTCGATCCCTCGTTTGACAGTCTCGCCTCTCCTCGTTTCCATTATCTCTCCAATCGGGACCAGCTCTTAGCTACCGCCTCGATGATTTCGTAACGCCTCACTTCGAGCCCTTCGCCACTTACGATTGGACGTAAACGCCAAGATGCTCGCCTCTTCGAAAAATTTCCCGCGCGCGCTCGTTCAAACAAGCACTGAGGCGACCTTCAGCTCGTAGGGAAAAGGTGCGCATTGCTAAGTCAGGTGGAATTAGGGAAACCCACCCTCGGTGGGCGGGACGTTATCTAAAAAGCAGTGCTTTGGTCTACGGACAACTTGAACTCAGTCCTTTAAACCGCGTCGACTCGATGCTCTCGCCTGCGCTCTCTCGCTTAAACAGCGGCTTATGATTATTGTGATCTGACACATCCAAACTTTGCCACAATGTAATTGGCTCACCCACTCCGGAGTCCCTTCTCCCTAAGGCTTAGTCCTAGGGTTGTCACCTTCCTTCTTGGGTTTTGGAGCCGAGCCAGGCGCCGTTCTCTAATCGTCTGCGTGGCCTTTCGCGGCAGAGAACACAGGGGAGAGTTCAAGTAGTCACGCAATCAATGGAAAAATTCAAGTTTATGGAGCAGAAAAAAATCGGTGTAGCGAAGCAATGTCTAGGGAGTTTCCAGCATACATGACGTGAACGGAAGACCGCCCACAATGGGCGGAGCGTGTCTGAAGTAGTAAGAGCGTTCCCTACAAGTCCCGTAACTCGGTTTCGAGAAGTCTTGGAGAGCGGGAAAAGGTGGATAGAGGTTAGAGAAGGTGAGGTTAATATCAAAGGTGGACACGGTGTGCACCAAAGTGGGCGGGGTTTGATAACAAATTTATAACTCGGTTATAAAAGCCATGAGACCGGGAAAAAAGGTCAACTGGTATTGGAATGTGGAGCGTGGATCGGGGTTTGCGTCACGTTATATTCGGCAAAAAATTTTGAAGCTGGAAAAAAGTGGGTTAGTATGTCACGACAAATGTTGACAATAAGAAGATGTCATGACCGTTTAGTGGATGGGCTGATATATCTAGTAGATTGTCAAACATTACTCTATCAGCGCGAGTGTAACGGGCCAAACTGAGAGTATTATTATGCCCCACTTCGGCTACTGTAGCTCATGAGCGAAGAGTGTTCTTGAAAATGAATTGTTGTCGGTGAAAGGCTTTTGAACAGCACTCTATGATGTGAAATGTTGGAGTTTGAATATCGAGAAGTTAGCTTTTCTGAACGCTACAGTCAATCTTGAGCTTTTTTTATTTGAAATGGAAATGTGCACAAAAAGGACAACGAGATGATTTTCTGGAGAAGTGAAAATTTAAAAAAGAAAGTGTCTACTCAGGAAGGAAATAATTTGTAGTCTTGCGGTATGTGACTTTTGCTTCTTACTTATTTCTTCTGTCCGGTGATTTAGAGTGCGACTTGCGTTCATGCAGAAGAATGTTGGCGAAAGAGTGTCAACTTGAGAAAAAATGTAGTTGAAGACCATACGGCACTATTGCATTGTCGACCCTCCCAGTGGGCAGGATCGTAAAAAATTTCGCTAAATACTTTTGATATACGTGGTCGCGAGCGCTCCACGAATTCAACATTATCTAGCATGGCACAAAAATGCCCGTTTGTCGTATGTTTTGCGCTCAGGACTGATTCTCTACCACTCTTTTGTAAACTGTGATCTGTTATTTGGGCCTGATTTAGACACTTACGCACTTTTTTACGTTTGGCGCGTATAGCATACATTATACGAAGTTATACGACTTCGTAGAAGAGAGAAGTTAGTAGGCCACTTTCTCTGTGATCCATACACTTCAACTTTTGCCACACCGTGCGTGGTTTACCCACTCCAGAGTCCCATCTCCTCCACTAAGCTTAGTCTTAGGCGCTATAAGTGAGAGAGCCCAGGAATGCAGAAAATAAGCGTTAAACAGCGCGAATGCCAAACGAATGTCATATTCGTAATCAGGACCCCAAATAACCCCTATACACAAGTTTACAGCGAATTTGGTGAAAACACCCTTGGCGCCAACTGGCGCCAAATGGCGCCAATTTGGCGCCAGCGCCAAAAATGGATGTCATATTCGTGATCAGGACCTCGATAACCCCCATAGCGAAGTTTCAGCGAAAATTTTTTGACCCATCTCACCCCACTGGGGTTGTAATAGTGCAATAGTGCCAACCATCTTATTTTCCGTCCTCTTGGAATGCATCAAATCACTCTTATCAGATTGCTCATCCATTATCTCCGTACATGCTCTCCAACTTTCATTTAGTTCTCTTGTAGGAAGTGGTGCCTACATAACAACATTTTAAGGTATTTCTGGCAGCCATTTAGTGCCTACTCATGGCTCAGCAGGATGAAATCGTAGCTGGTCAGAGCTTCCGTGGTCTGAACCATTTCTTCTCTCGCGCTCGAAGCTTGGTACCTATGGTTGGCTGTGAGAGTCATTTGTTCTCGACTTTACCTTATTTACGTCTATATTACGTAAAGCAAAATACTATTATGCCCGTCACAATCGGGCTATCCAGAACATTTCTATACCTCAAAAGTAAGAGGAAATCTGTGAAATTAAACGCTCATCGCTTTCTGATGACCAATCTTATGTTGAGATGCGCATACTTCCAACTTTCCAAAATTGCCAGCGAATAAACACCGCGGTACGCAAGGGGTAAAAGGCGGATTTTACGGTGAAAGGGCAGCAAATCACGTTAGATATTTGGACAGAGCGATACCGTAAAAACAAAATGTCAACAAAAACGGCGTAGAACAAAGGAAAGGGACCCCCTTCTTGCTCGTTGATTTCCGCATTGATGCTACTCTCATCGGTGCTTGCTCTCTTCAACACTAGCTCTCTCTCTTTCCAAAATGGCGTAGGGCCTAGAAGGAAAAGGCGAGCGTACAGCGGCCAATTCCGCGCCGAAGCAGTGAGAACATGCTGCTTCGCCGAGGGGTAAATTCTTCGATGCGAATGGCGTGACTGATTGCACCCACACGAGGTCTGTTTCTCTACTGTGGAAAATTTCCCTTCTTGAATTTCGCCTTATCGTGGTATTGCTCCTTTAGGCAAGCCTTCGCGTTAATTCAGAGCGTCAAATCCCGGATTAAACTTCACCAATGCCAGCCAAGCCCTATATCTTTGTAGGATTGTGTCAACGCTCAACGCTTAACTGTTTAACATCTGTCATCAAGCGAGCTTCCTGAAGCACCCGATGCACTGCAGTGTTCACATCTCTTAAAATGCGGCTTTAAACGTATGGGGGCTTGTTTTATGGGTTCTCGGCAGTTTGCTTTCTTTATTGCTGTACGGCTGAGGTTCACCTCTGCATTTGTTTTCGAGCCTGTCACTCACTGCTTCAGGTTATGAAGTTGCCTCTAATTTCGTAATAGTGTCTACTTTGCCATAAAACGCCTTAATTTTGTTTGGTAACTGCTGGTCGCAGATATCGGAATGTCCGGCAAAACCGGGAAAATGTCGCGCGAACACGATGTGTTGGGTGCTTCAGTGAGTAGAGCGTCCTGCTGCTTTACACCGACAACTCCCTGCGGATAATTTCAGAAGCATTTCGAGAACTTAATTGAGGAAGAGCGTGGGACTTACTGAAAAGCTGTCGTTCCGCAGGCTGTCGATTTATGGTTGTGCAGCCGCTGCAAATTTCACGTAACACTTTGCTTGATTTTGAGTATTGTGTGGTCAAGTATGATTAGGAAATTTGGAGATACAAAAAAAGGCACCACAGGAAGCTATCATATTTAAAAATTCAGATTCTCTTGGAAGGAAGTCGCTTCTCCGAGGTTTGCCTTGGTATTAGAACCAATGAATACAGTGTCTAAGTCTGTGCAGCCAATGCCTTCCCATTAAGTCAGACTTCGTAAGCTTCTTGCAGCCACCTCATTGGTGACTAATTTTCGGAGCTTGCCTACACAAATATTGCTCTTTTTAAACGAGTGTCAATACTTCTGCGAAGGGTTTCATAGCAAATCGAGTGCACGGCGCAAACAAAAACGTATTGATCAATGACAAAGTAGTACCACCTATTCAACTGCTAGACACTAAGCGTGTGGGGTTACCTATCCCGAAATGGTGTTCTTCCTAAGGACTGGAAAATTTCACATTCATTCATTGTTGCGACACATATTTAAGTGGTCCAAAAAAGTTTTAAGTTCAAAATTGGAATTAGCTTACTGACCGCAAGCGCGATGAATTAAATTATGTATGAAATTCTAAATTGGCGATGACTCAAGAAGGTTACTCCCCCTCTCCTCCTTAGGTGCATAAAAAATGAATCGACCATAGGTATATTTGTTCGGTTTTACTTCGGAACCGAGTTCCGGCGCGGAGTTGAAGAAAACATTACCTAAGCCGTGGAGGAATGACAAGAAGCCCATAAAGCGCCTGCTGACTAGATCTCATGGTCAGAGCAGAGAACTTACCGTTAGAATCTCAGAACAACTGTTTTATTCATTAAAAGTGAGAGCTCTGCCCATGATGAGCTTCTCCAGAAGTTCTTCCGAGATCTTATTTCTAACCACATAGATCATTAGATTATTTTCAGGCCCTTTTTTTAAAGGAGCATAGGGAAGGCGGAGACTACTTTTAGATTATTTTTAGAGGTGTTTAATAGGTGATTATCCAGGAATTAACCAATCATTCATATGTTTAAGACCAAGGAAGCGATGGAGCTGAACATGTGGAAGCCGAAGAAACGGCATTTTCGCGAGACGGATGAATGGCGCAGAAAAAAATCGCGAATCATCAGTAAAATGAAGGCGTTGTCGAGAATAAATTTGCTGCTGATGCTCTCGAAAATGCAGGTCAGTTGGCATTTTTGATATTTGGAGCATTACTTACTTTTGACTTGTCTTTGATTGTTACTTGTTGTGTTTGGCCGCGGTTAGCTATGCGAAGCCTATCACAAGACAAGATCATCGCATTATTCTGTGCGCGATGATAAACCATGGTGGATATACCCTCAAAGGAGGTGATAACGATAAATTGTTTGGGAACGATAAGGAAGCTACATAGTGGATTGTATAGGAGGCTCACCTATTGGCCAAGGTGACGCCTCACAGGCAGTGGCGCCTCATCAATGGCCGTAGTAAGGCAGACGACCAACTCACTTTCAGCATGCGGCACACCCTAACGTATCGTAGCGTGGAAGGGTTGGATGTCAGCGTATACTTGTATGAACCCCCGTATGTTACCGATTTCATTCCGGGGTGCACTTCATTCGAAGCAGCTGTATCTTTTTATCTCATCGTATCATATCTTCCATAGGGTTACGCGCTCCTACATCCATTATCTCTCTCAGCTCTTATCGGTTGATAACGCGTAGTAAGCTGCTCCGCCTGAATGCCAGCGTGATCGATTCCTCCAAAAACTTGAGTTGAGGTGAGATGGTGACTTTGTAGTGTAAATGGTAGCACACTTATCCAGGAAACGAGAGGTGCGGATTCCACCTGAGTTTATCGGTTTTGCCAATATACCAGCATTTTTGTGCTAGAATTAGTTAGTGTTGCTTCATTACAAAATACGAATCATCGATTTCGAATTAGCTATTGTCGCCGTTTACCGCGCACACGGCCCAGGGTTAAATCCCGACGGTCGTTAGCGAGCCATCCATTCATGCTTAGCAAGGGGAACCTCTGATACGAAATTGCTGATGACGCTTTTTAATGTAGCCATAGTAATTTCGCTATATCGTAATACCTTCTCATTTCCAACACCGGTTACGAAGATAATGTAGTGGCAAATGGCGCTGTTTACCGGGAACTAACTCCAGATCGATTCTATCCAGGTCAAGAAGGACTTCTCTGTAAGCTAGCCTGTTGGTACCATAAGTTTGGTAGGAGAGCTGAATTCACTGTCCATAAAGTCATTCTGTGAGCTGAATCGCTTTGAAGGTCTCTCCATCCAAATGGAAACGGATGCCAGGCGCACTTCACTCTTTTCTCTAGTCAACCAACGCGCTAGACTCTATTCTTTTCATCGAACACCACATGGTTTTCTTCAGGAAGGATCCGAATTATTTACGAACTTAGAATCCGATGGAAAAGATGACTCTGAAACTTTCGAAATGCAAGGGTGGACGCTAGAAAAGTTGTAATACTCACTTTCAAGGACAGATAAATTCACTTTTGCGATCCTGCGGTACATCTGTGTCTTTTTTGACGCATGAAAGGCGCTCATTAATTATGGTTATTTTGCATTTTTCACAGAGGATTTTCACAGAATTTTTGTTTTCCTATGTCGTATCCAATTTAACCCAACCTCTGCTCACTATTTCACGATTCGATAAATTGAAACATTACAAAGGTGATCTGCTTCCGATTCTTTCATTTTAGAATTTCGGTATCGAAATAGGCGATGTCAGTGAATCTGCATTTTTCCTGAAAATTCACTATATTAATTAATTTGATCAATTATTCATTTGTTAAGTTACTTTTCACGCTAATAGGCGCAACACAACTGATGTGAGCAGTTAAAAATTGCTGGTATCTAAAGATTCAAGAAATTTGAAGCGAGATCTTCTTGATCTTGATTTGATCTTCTCCCTGTAAACTAGAAAATAATAGGAAAATGAATGGGAAGAAGGCAAAGGAAGTCAAAGTGAACCGACTAAAAGGTATACCGTGTAGACAGAATGGTGGTTTTCTCATTACGATTAAAATGCACCCCATTGGAAATTAAGTTAGAGATAGCCATAATGCACGAACGAAGAAAAAACCAGGAACATCGTTTTAGAACCCGAGAAATGGGATCACCTTCTTGCTCGTTGATTTCTGATGCGGTCGACGACTGCATGCGACTCTCACCGGAACTGCCCCCTTCTGGGGTACCCCCAGGAGGCCCGTCGCGCGGCAAGAAGGCAGAGTCGGCAGCGCGTGGTGTGCGATGTAGGACGTGCAGTGGGACATCTATTTAACTTGACGCGAAATCCCTATAGTACGCGCGCGACTCGTCCGCTGACTTTGCCTTCTTGCCGCGCGACGGGCCTCCTGGGGGGTACCCCTCCCTCCTTAAATCTAACGCTCTCTGCTGAACGGTCAGAGGCTCAGATAGCAAAAAGGGGGTGGGGTTGCGTTTGTTCTCGTGAGAGGCCCGCCCTTCTCTCCAGAAGGTCTCCAACTTCCCTTCTCCCACCTTCTTCCTTGTCGTGAATCCTCCTTCAATCAATCGATCAAAAGTACAAAAAAAATAGCTGAGGTTCAGCATTCTTCTCTGAGCATTTCGGTGAGAACTAAATTGTTACTGCTAGGATTTTCTATATGACCTCTGCAGAAGGAGTTTTGAGAGTTAGGACAGAAGAGTTTTTCTACCACTTCAATCCACATTTTTACATATCGAGCCTCTTTCTCTCTTTATGTCAAGCAAGATAGCAGCTTTGCAGCGAGATCTTAGGTTTATATATGGATAAACTCGAAGGATTTGGATGCTCGACCCTTCTTCGATCTTTATTCTTTTCACGATACTATATAAAAAAGTTGCTCGGAATACCGCGATAAGTTTTTCTTATCAATCCGCTGGAAAAGCTTCAGAAATTTCTACATCAACAACTTCTACGCTACTACTATGGGTAAATCTATAATATTGGCGTTTTCCAACGTGTTAAACTCTTGCACAGATGTCGGCTCTATTATTCGTTCCAGATGTGCTTCCTACGACTATCTTTTAGGTTCTCGAAGGAGCACTGACTGGTCCATCAATAAATCCTTTCTCAACGTTCTAGAGATCTGCACTAGACAGAGAACGAAGGTCATACTTCAATGCCTGCACCTGATGTTATCTGTGCTGAGCGATTGCTGGTTGCAGAGTTCGGATGGCACGAAATCGAATCAGTTTTTTTCATCATCATGAGCCTGCTACGTGGTCTGAAAACTGGGTTGGCAAATTCTCACTCAAGGGCTAGCCAGCGGTGGGGGCTGAAGATGCAGCTTAGTCCAAAGTTCTAAGTGATTAGGCTTCCTGGAACTAAAAGGGAACGTAGAAGTTGGGGGAGCCGTAGTGATCGACAAGTCTCGATGCCGCCATGGTAGCGACAATAATGACATTTATTTTCTCACTAATGAACCACCGAGTAGGCGTTACTTACGGAATCCAGTAAGAAGCTTGAATTTGACGAATGACTGAAGCGTTCGGCCTGACTGGTAACAGCACCATCGAAGTACAGTATTCGCTTCCACTTTTGAATCCATCTCAATCTGTTTTGGTTCAGGCCATGAGTCCTGCCGCCACAGGAGGCATCAATCGCGGTACGCAAGTAGGTGTGTCTAACAAGGGAAGGATACCAGGTCGAAGTGGCCATTTGTAACGAGACATACACCACTAGATGTGTTTTTGGACGCTGATCTCGAATCTGCTCTCCAAATCTGCGGAACGATTCCCTGAACGTAGTTATGAAGCGAGATAGTGCAGTGGCAGCGGCCCAGGCCGACGGAAAAGAGGTCGTGGGATCGAATTCTTGGCGATATCTCACATTTGCTTTCCTTGAGACATTGCTAAAGATGCTTTTATCCATATAAATTATTAGCGATTGCCTATATTACAAGTGGGAATAGCTAGCGAGGAGCATCTAACACTGTGCGCGCCATTCGCAAAAGATCGCCCCTTGTACTCGTAGCGCACGCGTCAGGCGCATTCGTGCCAAACAGAGGTGATATTCGTATTCAGCGCGTCAAAATGCCCCTTTCCACAACTTTTGGTCCAAATCTGAAATTTGTACCTAACTTTGCAAATGTGGGCAGTCACCGTTGGTCATTTGCACATGGCACGCACACTTGATCGAAACTCCTCGCTATCTCCTCGCACTAGTAATAAGGCGAGTGCTGATGACTTAGCATAGATGAGGATTTCCTTAACAATGTCCTCAGGAAAAGCAAAAGTCAAAACTCGCCGAAAATTCGATCCCACGACGTCTTTCCCGTTGGCCCGGGCCGCTGCCACTGCACTATCTCGCTTCATAACTACGTTCAGAGAATCGTTCCGCAGATTTGGAGAGCAGATTCGAGATCAGCGTCCAAAAACACATCTAGTGGTGTATGTCTCGTTGGCCACTTCGACCTGGTATCCTTCCCTTCATCTCGGGATCTTTCAGGAGCGCGGCTCGTTGAGACTGCAGCTCTCTGAGCAGCTCTTGACTTTCCGAATCTCAGCATACCAGAGACTATCAGTGAAGCGGATCCGAAATCGTTATAGCGACGATATTCCTTGCCATCTTGCCATCCGAATGGCTGCAGCACAGAGAGCAGCGAGAGTTGTCGCAAAGCAAAAAAGAATGGAAGGCTCGGTTTGGCTTGGACTACGAACGACTAAGGATTTGATCCCAGGACTGTGGGCGTGGAAGGAATCTCCACTCACTACTGCACAGCTTCCATCCATGAATGCCTCGATACCATTCACAGTTTTCACTCAAGAATCCCCTGTATAAAAAGAAAGTTGTAAGAAGATCTATTTCTGTTGGATCACTACTGTTCACAATTCGCGTTGCGAAATTTATCAAGAATGCTGGGTTGCGGGCAAAATTTTGGCCCCAGCCAAGACCCGTCCCCAAATCTCTTGCTTTCCGGGCGCTTGTGCTACCATACAACCGTACACCATTTCACCCCAACTCGGCTTCGATGGATAACAATTTCTTGTGTGAGAAGATTGTAAGACTTTTTTCAAACGAATATTATACATATCTACCAGCCCGAAAGAAGCATCAGCCAACTAACGCAAGAATTAAGAAAGCTTTACTTGCAACTGTATCAGTGAAACTGGCCTATTAGACGAAAAGATAAATATTGTATGTTATTATGGATAAGCGATCACTTCTCACCACATTTTTGTAAAACATCCATTCTCATTCGGGAATTCAAGTGACCTAGCCTAGCCCACAAGCAGAAGCTTTTCACAGAAATTGGAACGAGAGCCAACTGTCTACTCACTGCACGTCTATTATGGTCTTTGTTTGCCATGTGTGGTTTTTTGTCCATTAGTTGTGAAGCGGATTTAGCTATCTTATTTTCTTACTGACTCTTATCACTTCTTACTGGCAAGTATCACCATTTATCAAATGTCTTCAGCGAGAGCTGCACCGTTATGATGAATAGAGTGCTGAATTTGACAACGTTCTCGTTTTCTGACTGTCCTTGTCAGCCTTTGTCAGTTGTTGTCATATCGCATAGTGCGAATGCTGCTCTTACCACAGAAGGGTAATTTCTAAGCTCTAGAATTTCTCAGATTCACAATCACGTTTAGTTGGAAACGAGCTCCAGTTGGGTCCTACAGCGGTTGTTCTCGGGTCACCTTGAGCAGCGCGATCTTTGAAGTTGGAGCAGTTTTTGTGCCTGCTGCTGGTGGCCAGCTCTTCAGTGCTGGCACAGATGTGCGGCGTTAGTATTGAAGATGCATGTACAAACTAGCAAAGGCAAAAGGTCACTGCACTATGAAGGGGGAGCCTTTCGATATGCTGCGAGAGAAGTGCCAGAAAAGGTGTGGAGGCTGCTAAGATTTCTGTTCTGTTAAAATGTGCTAAGAACCCTCTAACTGAGTGGAGGCCCACTAACAGTGGAAGCGGGTCCCAAAGTGGGTAGGTTTTCTATTGTTTCGCTTCATCTGGCCATGCGAAGGCTCGGAGACCGAGAAAAGGTGGCTGGCGAAGAAGAAGATCCATTCCCAATCTATTAAAGGCCAGAACCTGCCTCTACATTGGATCTTCATTTGAAGTTGGGACACCATCCAGCGCTTCGTGCCGTGATAGCCGGAAGACCTGAAAGTGGGAAGGGGAGCAAGAGAGTGTTTGAGAACGCTGAGCTAGGGCCGTAACTCAATAACGCGGTCGCATGTGGTCAGTGGTCCAGTCGAGACAGGGCGGTCAAAGAGGACAAAATACGCGATAGAAAACGTCGTCCGAGAGGGAGAGAGCTCTACTATGAACTGATTTTCAAAAAAACCAGTTACAGCTTACTGTGATGGTTGAAGATGAAGAATGTGTCATACACAGTTCAGCAGGCTTCCTACTGAGTCCGCACAGACCCATATGTTCTCATGGGGAAATCATGGCATGATGTTGTACTGTCTTGGAAGTATCACACATTCGTATTACCGACTGGGTTTTTACCTCTTCCCAACTGGATTGTAAGATATAATATTTTGTTTAGAATTTTGCCGCACTTGTTAACTTATCGTTTGCTATTTCTTCAGTAAGACAGGGTCCAATATGACAAAAAAAATTCTGAAAAAAAAAAAGAGAAAATTCACCCGCATTTGCATAAAACCATTCTATTCTTAGACAGTTTCTCCTTTCTCCATCTTCTTTGAAACTATTCCCCCAATGAGAGATGGATTGCCCGCGCAGATAAGGTTCTACGATATGTGTACCCCGCAGATCTGATAACACATAGGCTAATCCTATCGGCTACGGTAAACTGGGTAGCGACGTACTCGTTTGTGAGCATAAAAGCGCTTATAGTAACATCGGTATGCTGACTGTGTTGAGTGTATTGGCCAAATACACCTCCAAATATCACTGAACAATTTGTTCCGAGATGGGTGCGTGGCGCAATCAAGGCCGAAAAGCGATTTTTTCCAGATTCTTGCACACGGCTCGTATTTCGAGAGATATTTCAAAGTCGGAGAAGGTGTGAGGAAGCCGAGTCAGCTATGCGTTGACGGATGCAAAGGCGGCGTTGGCGGATCGGGCTGTGTTTGTGTTCGCTCACCTCCATTAACCATTTCATCTCCCTCGCCGCTAAGATATCTCTCACTTTTTTTCTCCATCGCTTTTTTTGCAACTAGTGAACACGTACTTTTTGTGCACTTTACTGCCGACCATATCGTTCTGTTCGGATGGTGTGCGATCTCACCCTGCAGACATGTTTCCGATGAATCCTAAGGATTTTCGAGAACTTCGTCAACGTTTTCTTACTCAGATGACTGCCGAGCGCCTGTTTGAGGACGAGTTCGGTACGGAAGCGCAAGTGCCGAAAAACTTCCAACAAGTTGGTAAATTTTTTGTGCAGAAGTTTTCCAGCGAAGAGTCCTGATTCTTGGAAACTCACCTGACTTATGGTAGTGCAAGCAACAGTTTTCGTGGCAATTTGAGGAAATTCTTCATCTCAAGAATTTTATCTAACCATCAGTTTTGAAAAATTGATTACATTGGATACTTCTTTGCTTCATTTTTATCCATTATCATTTTTTATTTATTATTTATTACTACCATTTTTATTACTTACCGTAATGCCATATTCTTTACCATTATTTTCATTTTTTATATTTCCTTTGCATTTTTCAACAGTCAGTACCTTTTTTTATAGTTTTAGCGGATGTCAAAATGGAGATATTTCTATTCTTTTTTTCGATTTTTCTCTCTTCCTTAATGAGAGCCGTTTGTCCACCCATCGCCATAGCTAATGTGTCAAGTTATAGTAACAATACTTAAAAAGCAATATCAAAAATATTAAAATGAACTCTAATAACAAGTAATAGATAATGACTCGTACATAATCATATTCATATTAATAATGCAAATAAACATACATAAACTTCGTTCTGAAGAGCTCCCCTGTCTGTGCCGCAACTGTTCTATTTTGTTCTCCTACTCGCATTTTTTTCTTTTTCCTTTTTTTTCTTTCCATTTTTTTTTTTTCTCATTCAAGTCTGTTCATTACTTATGACATTACTATATTTCTTATCAATGGGGGCCATATTTTCCGGGTTCCCGATATGAGAGAGGTCGGGTCCAATTCCCAGCTGGGGCAAAATGTTTTACCGTACAACCACACTGTGATGTCCTGATTGATTGAGTTCGATTTCTATTGTTATCAAATATTTATAACTAATTTATATCGGATATTCCGCTACATTATTTACATAAAACATCTTTAGTTTGAATATTTGACACATACTATTTCATTTCTGTTCCCAAATACGCTGTGATTTTTCCCTCCCGTTAGTTAACTTCTCCAATAAGCCTGAGCATCTTTTCCCATGACGTAACAGCATTTTCTACCGTCTTCCTTTTTCGAACTTTTCCACTTCATCAATTTCTCGCCACCAGTGAAGTTGTTGGACTTCTCTAAGTAAACATTCATGAAGTGATGAGGAAAAGCAGCCTCTCGACGGAACTGACAATCTCTGAGTGCAATTGAAATCCACCTTTGTGTATCTAAAAACGCACGAAATAAATCGTATACTAGTCGATCGATAATCGATTTCGAGCGAATAATATGCGAATGCTTTTGCGCAATGGGTGATCCGCAATGATTTATGTGGTTGTGTAGTGTTTTACACTCTGATCGCTATGCTATATATCTGCCTCCTCTCTCTTTTTCTCCGTATGATATATCTTTTTTCTTTCTTTCTCGAGTGACTCATCAAAAAATCTCAAAAATCGTTTCCACAAATCGATTATACCAACTGTTGCTGCCTAACAGCTCATCGAATAGCTCATTTTTCGCTCTGTTGGTGCACTCTTGCAAACATATGAAAGCACTGTTGTAAGAAGCTTCACTGAGATTCCAAGGGGTTTCAATAAAGGATAAGGATAAAGCATTTGCCGTTGATCAATCCCTTTTTGGGATGCGGCACGCATTCTACTTCCATTTGTACATTCGTAGTGGCGTTTGAATGCGATGTGGCCTATACAATGACTTGCGGGGGCCAGCCGATGTACAAGTCAGTGTTTTTATCCTCCCAGACAAGTCTGGTACCAATTAACCGACCCCGGAGGGATGGAAGGCTTGGTTGGCCCGGGCGACTCACGACCCAGGATTTGATCCCCGGACCGCTCGCGTGGTAAGCGCGCCACTTGCCACTACACCACTTCCGCCCTTTCGAAGATACCGTAGGCTTGATAAAAGAAATCATGTCAACTTCCAACAGGCAGTCAGATATGTGAAAGCAAGTAAATGTGGTACACGGACAAACGGGAGGATCAAATATAATCCAGGCCAGTCAAGTCTACCCGCCCTACGGGCAGGGTCAACAGTCCGTTGCTATTTTTCCAGCAAGGTTGAGCTGTATTCGTGATTTTCTGACGAACGGAGTCGTACTGGAAGAAGAGAGTCATAGAATTAGCAGCTCCACGAGAGGTTTATCAACTCCCCCACCATTACTACTCGACGCTGTTTTTGCAGGAATTCTGTGGGCGAAGTTGGAGTGCCAGGTGATCTCAGGTTCAATAACCTTAATCACTTGACACAAGTGGGAGTTGGAGGACCCTGTCTAGGGATAATAGCAATCCTAAGATTATCAGTGCGGTTGGATAATTGGTACAGATAGCTATAGAGAATGAGATACTGCTTTCACATCGGTTGGCCTCAGCAAACCTCAGCACGATTCTGGGTGGAAGTCGAGTCCTTGCTATATTCAAAAAGATGAAATTGATCACCTTTTGGTCACTTATCTTTTGCGCTTTTTCACTGGATGTACAAGAATACGCGTTTTCAAGACTGCTGCTTCTTTGATCGAGCTCAACTTTGGCCTACAGATCCCACCGTTCCAGTGCCAAGTACTAACCATACGTTACAGAGGGGGAAAGGGTGAAAAAAGACATTTTGCCCAAGGCGCACATCAGCAAGCTCATTTGTTAAGACTGTCGCCGTTGATGGATGGCAACATTACAGCAAAATACCCCTGAATACCATATCCATTTACCATCTCCTCTTCAGAATATGACATCATCTAACCGCTGTCGAGCTCAAAGAGGAGCAGCTGAATTCTCCAACTTGGAACAGCTGCCCTATTTC